ACGCTGAGGGCAGAATTTCTCGGCACCTGTGTAGAGGAATATAAGTTTGGTATTACTGATCTTGAGAAGCAACAAAATAACGGAGTTAAAAGCTCTAGACGTAAGGTACGGTAACTGAAACGGGCAGCGGAAACTTGTAACTTGTTTTGCAACATTGGAGCAATAGCGATGTTGCACGTTCTACCAACCGCGAATCTAATCTGTTTTGCAACAAATCAGATTGTTGCAGGTTGTGAAAAGTTACAGCAGAAAATAAAGAGAAGTTCTACTTTTTGCATAGAATCTGTACATGTTACGCGTTTTACCGGTCCAAGATAAACTTGTTTTGCAAAAATGACGCAACTTCCGGGTATGGCGTGACTGTCGCATAATTTTGTCCAATCAGAAGCCAGTATTCACGTAACTTCAGTGCAAGACGGGTTTGAATAGGGGTGGTAAAGACCCGCAAAATAACCTTCTTGTAACAATGGTGCAAAACAAGTTGCACGCTTTTGTTGCCCCTTTTACAGTAGATTCAAAGAATAGAAATGCTTGTGCGGATGACTTCTCGTTCGTGGTGTCAAAGTACTATATATATCTTTCGAAATCACAAATATGAAGGAGGCCTGGGTTAAAGGACACGAACCCTTTGTCGACGCCCTAGTTTCTTCACATGTGGCTAGGAGTTTCAGCTCAGCAAGTCAAATAATATGATTTGGGTCATTGTGCGACCCAGAATCATAACATGAACTCCACTGCGCGTAGATTAACAATGCATCGTGGTATGGGCCCCCCTTAAATGATATTGATGCCTATGACCTTTTCAACAGAAAAATGGTGACTTGGATTTTCACCAAAATGTGACTAACTACATTTCTTGGGAAAAGTTTTTTAGTTGTTCCCTTAAGCGTAATAGCGGAAATATTTCCCACCTCTTTTAGTTCTGCACTTCTGAAAAGCTTCGTTATTTGACTCATTCAACGGGAAAGGCTGCTTGTTGAGGCAAAGCGAGAAGGACTTCAAACGTGTTTTAAATTCAGATACAGCCTCTGTTTCATTCTCTCGTTCAGTTATCTTCTTCACTATGTCTACGGCTTTTCTGTAAAATGTAATCAGCTGATTCCACCCGATGGCATGAACCTCATCTACATAAGCAAGCAGAAAAAAAATCTTGTTGAACGAGGAAGGCATCTTTGACAAGTCTCGGTGAAGTATACCTGTTTTTTTCTCACCATTGCCCTGTAGTATCCATTCTCGTCTCCAGAGCCCGTCGTTTCTTGGTCACGTGTTCTTGAGTTAACACAGATTAAGCCGAGTGGCTCCGGGGACGAGAATGTGTAGTACCACATTACCATTCTTGACTTCTCAGGCTTCAGTCATGCGCAATAGAGAAGAACTCTGGAGTCGGGAATGGTCATAATAAATGTCACAATGCCAACCTCGTCCCCAGTACCCTCTCGTTTTCCCATCTGCCGCCGCCATAATGGAAAACGAGAAGACCCTGGGGACGAGGTTGTCATAATACATGAACTCCAGGACACGCATGCGCACAACCATACTAACTGACCAAAGCTACTTCCAAAAACAGCTGATTGGTTCTTGTGAGGATCCAGCTCGGTAGCATAATGCATAGCTGGATGTTGCCATGTGTACCTGCCATCACTGAAAATGCAGCCTTACGACGCAGGCGTGGCTTTGTTAGACACATTCACCACTTTAGAAACGAGAAGAAAACTGGGACGACTTAAATTTCGCAAAGACCTCTGGGACTGTTTCTAGGAACAGGGAAAAAAACTGACCAATAGCAGACCAGCGCGTCCCCAGTAACGATCCCAGAAATGATTGCCTGTAATAATTCCATGTGATCACTCTAAGCTAAGGACTGTAAACTAGTCAGGAAATGCGTTTCACGGGAGAAAGAAAAATTCGTTTAAATCTTTCTTTAGAGTAGAATGTTGCTAGTATATATATACAATATATATACGTGGCGAGACCATAACAGGGAGCAACAGTTGTACAACCTCGTTCCAGGGCTTTCCCTTAAAAAATTGTCGACAGGAAAAGCTCTGGGGACGAGGACGACAGTTGTTAATATCAGCTAATTCAACAGAGTACGAAAAGTCATTTGTTTTCATTTTACAGTCAACCCAGGTCAAGCTTACCCCCTAAGATTCCATTTATGAATTTATTATTCGAAAGTTGAATCCGTTGTTAGTTGTAGAGTTCAGATTCATCTCTGCATTCTTGCATGCGTAATGAGCCGTGAATTCACGCGCAAGGCAGTTATTGCGGTGAAGCAAACCAGCAATTCGAGTGAGCGCTCGTACACTAAGCAAATTAAAGAATAAAAACGTAACTTTATGCAGTTTGATAATCTTCATTTACCTGGGGTATGTTTTGTGGAAGTGAAGTAAGACACGATTTCTGCATATGCCTCTTTCCCCTCCATAATCCTCTCTATCCCATCCAATGTTTTAGTCGTCTGCTCAGAAGTTCTTGTTCCATTGACGAAGATAAAACTAATGGGCCTCGTTCCCAGACCACTAGACACATTACTCGGCACGCAGTGTGTCATGTGATCATTTTCAAGATATTCAAACAAACTGACCAATGGCTCGCCAATGTGTTTGACCACGCCCTCAAAGAGAGACTGTGATAAATTGCTCCCATAATTTGAGACCCACTGTCTTAGGTCACGTGATGAAACCCCAGATGCAAAGCTGTTTATACGGGGGCGCACTCTCCACCGCGTTAATACGGTCTCTGGCCTTCGCGAAGTAAAAAATGAGCGATATATCTCTTTCATACATACGATTCCTTCCTTACATTCATCTAATGACTGAACCATTCCAGATTTTACGCCTCTTTGGAGATTCGACTTATACTGGTTGATCCCGTCTCGAAATTTCTGGAACAAATTTAAAGCATCCTCTGCACTACCCAAAGTTTTGTTTCCCTTTGTAAGGAAAATGTAAAGGGCGGACTTCAGGTGAATTTGTATTGACGCGATGGGTTCTTCTCTGCATCTTTGATCAGGGCCTAGCATCCATGCTCCTACGGTTTTGTATAATAGATAAAAAAACTCAGATGGTAAAAGAAACGAGCAAGCCTGAGAAGACATCCGACATTTCGCGACGCCACGACTGGTTTCCCCGCGAAATGACCTCTGAGAAACCAGCGCAGAAATTCCATATTGATTACGTATTACTACAGATCTGGGAAGTACTTCTGATTGGTTGAAGCAAATGTCCCACGGGGCACGACCAATCAGAAGCACACGGACAGACGTATGGGAAAATGGATGCCGTGACAGAAAAGCGGAGTAAGGAACGGCCAAACGTATAAAGGATACGCGGATGGATCAATAGACGGAGGAATGAATGGACAGACGGACAGAGGGAAAGACGAACAGTCGAACATACAGATGGACGGACAGATGGTAGGAAGGAGGGAGAGAGAGGGAGAGGCGGACGGACGGGCGGAAGGACGGAGGAACAGATGGACGGACGGACGGACAGATGGATGGATGGATGGATAGATGGAAGGATGTATGAATGGACGGACGGACGGACGGATGGATGGATGGAAGGACGTATGGACGGACGTACGGACGAATATATGGATGGATGGACGGACCGACGGACGGACGGATGGATAGATGGATGAGTGAATGGATGAATGGCACCTGCATGTCATACCTGTGTAGTAATTGTTTTCATATGGTTTACCAAAGTAATGTTTTAGTTCGTGCTCTACGAGGGCCAAAAGTTTTCCTTCTCGCAGTTTGATCCGTTCCATGACAATGTTTCTCTTCATCCTCAGAAGATCTTCATACAGCGCTTTTGTTTTGTCCGTTAACGCTTTGATTTTCTCAGGCGCTGGACTATAAGGTTGAAAGACATCTTTGCTATTTGTCCTTCGATATGGGGTAAAGCTGTCTCTAATTGTTTGCACCTTAACAAGAAAGGGCTCCAATCCTGCATGTATAAAGAAACAAAGAGTAGACTACGTTAAGCATCCTTTGTAACAGATCGGCAACTTTTTTTACGTTTGTTCATCTTAAAATTTTTTCATAATTTTTATTTCAATCACTTTATTTTATATTTTTACCCCAACTCCCCCCTCCCACACGTACACCACCCTGACACCCCCTGTACCATTTGCAAGAAACAAGGGATTGGGAAGAATACGGGTTCCAGGAACACAGATAAATCCCATTCGAAGTGCACAATTTTGATTTGTTAACTCAAAAAAGGCACCAGAATGAAAAGTAAGAAGTATCATATGATACTTTGCGAGTAGGTTCTTCACAGCCGATCAAGTTGATTCTTGGAGGGACTGATCGAACGTACCGAGAGCGAGGGCATTTCGACAAAATTGCATCAGGTCTTTCTGTTGAAATTGAAAATACTTCTGGGGAATTTTACTGGAGTTGATTGTAAATTAAGGACTGTATCTAAGTCCAGAAAAAGGAAAAGAAAATTGTTGTCCTGTGTTCACGTCCTCTATGAAACGTAAAGGTGATGTTACACGGGACGATTCAGTCACAACGACGATTTTTAGCACAACACAGAGTTGCAACATTGTTTCAAATGGTTGCAACTTTGTTCCAACATTGCAAAGCTGTGTTGCGCTAAAAATCGTCGTTGCAAATCGTCTCGTGTAACATCACCTTAAAACTAGCAAGTTTCACCTTGTAGTCGTACAACAACCGCAAAGAAATTTACAAAAAAGCGTTATGCACGTGCAGAGTTGTTGTTTTGCCCATCAAACCTATAGGAAAGTTTCACATGACGTCATGGCGGCCATATTTGTGTCCCAAAACAATGAAACGACGGCCATTTTTGTGTCCAAAACCAGTCCTGTGGGAGTTGAACTCTTTTCTTGTGTAAACGCTCACTTTTGTTCCAATAAATTTGCATAGATGCTGGCCACGTGAGCGAAAACACAGAATTGCCTTTTTGCCGTTCTCAATGCCGTCGCCTTCCTCGTTTCTAACGATCCCTTTTGCCTCAAAAACACTTTGAGAGGAATCACCTATAAGCCATTTCCGAGTTCCAAACACTCTCACTTTTAAAACTAGGCAAAGTGCAAAACCTTTCTTATGAAAATGAGTTTTATTTGCATGAATTTCGTATCACAAGCTTCGCACTTCGCCTCGATTTGAAACAGAGGCTTGGAGCAACTCGGAAATGGCCAATTATAGTGAGGTTTATATGACGTCATCACAAAATTAATGTCGTCAAGATGATTCGTTCAGTTGATAGCCTTTTTTTTTCTTGGCGGTGTCCTTTTATATTAAAATCTCCCCTGTTATTTAAAAAAACCTAAAAACCTCTTAACTGTCGGTTCCTGGCTCTCACAAAATCTATGGAGTATCTGGAGTAGTTATTGAGAATGGCGTGCGTCCACTTCAAGTCTTTTCCGGAAATATCCCATTCCTTTAATTGAAATAATGTACAAAAAAACCAAACCAAAACAAAACAAAACAAAAAAATCGACAGATTTTGGACTTTTGGAGCCATCTTAAAATTTTTTGTTTGGTAAATAATATCAACCATTTTCGTGACGGGATTTTTTTGTTTTTATTTACAGAAAATAAATTAATAACAAATGAATGTGTTTTCGAAAGATTTCAAATACACAACTTATATTGCCCATCATATCTTGAAAGGCAGCAATTCATTGACTCTGTCAGTTGAATTAAATTAACTAGGAGCCAAATCTAGTCAGCTCTAAACTTTTAAATGAACTTAGACAGTGAATTACCGGAGAACAATAATCACGTTTCTCCAAACACTAAAACCATATTCTTACGAAAAAGGTCAGCGATGACACGAAAGTTACGACTATTAGGTACAGATGTTCGTTGAAAAAAACTTCGAAGAGGCAGTGGTTGACCCTAATCAAATACTGCTCAAGACACAAACTGGCCAAACAATCATTCAAATTGTTTTTATACTTGGTATTTCGCGGATTTAAAACTCGAATTATAAGTGAGAGCAATAAAAAATTAAAGTTATGATAATCACACACTTTTAAAGTTAACATCTGCATTTTATTGGCTTACCTGCGCGCACGGCCTCCTTCGAAAACTCGCACGGATTTGCGAATTTTGAACCGTTGTTGCTAGTTGATGTAGAGTTTTTATCACAGGATTTTGTCTGACTTAAGCCCGTAAAAGTCACGCTTTTTGTAGGGAATTTCTGACTTTGCGATACAGAGATTAACACAATACCAGCTACCAAACAACCAACTCCAACGAAAGCAATCACACCGGCCAAAATACAAGCTCTTGAATATCGACGTTTGACATGATAATCTGGGGAGATACTGGATGTAGAACTGTTCAGGAACACGTGCTCACGTAGGCCAAGTTGATCGGGGAGAGCTGAGTTCAATTCGTGATCACCCATCTCTTTTTTTGAACGATGCCCTTATAACTTGGCAGCAAAAAACATCGTGACCAACGAATAATTTGATGATGTTAAAGTAAAGCGATGAAAGAAGCAATCGAATGAAACTTTCAAAGTTGGCACCCGAAAGATCGTGCAAAGATAGACTTTTTTAAAAATTCATCACTATTATCAAATGACTTCCATATTACGATTGTGAGGGATAAATGTCAAGACTTTTATGGAAAATCATGGGTTTATGTATCGACCAAACCTAATAAAGGTGAACAGTTGTGTTTTATATGCATAATGTATTTATCTCTCCTTAAAAGCTTCTCCTAATATTTTTAGTTGAGAAAATTGCACCATAATAAAAGTTTTGAGGATTACCGGATAAAATGCGAAACGAATTATAATAGAAACATTACCCTGTAGTGAAAACGTTGCTTTGGGAGATATGCATAATAAAGAATTTAAAAAAATAAAGCAAAAAATTAATGTTTGTTACTTGTTCAGTACGACGTCGGAACAAATAAATCAAAAAAATAACATAAAATGATGAATAAGTAAAAAAGAAAAGGAATTCGAACTTCGTCATTAAAGCACCAACATTGAAAAGTTTATCTGTAATTATTTACCACAAACCAAATACTGCCTGCGATAAAGATCACTGAGAAATGACAGTCTTAATTAATAGAGGATATGAAACCAGAGGCCGAAAAGCATGATAAGTTTGATGATTCAGAGTGGCAACGTTTTCCGTCAGATTGGGCGGAAAGGACATCAGTTGGAAAACGTGCAAGTAAAATAAACGAAAACTTTGAAATGAAACGTGTTAGCATTGTTGAAAGAGAAACGAAATTTGTCTACTAACAAAAACTAACGGAAACAAGTGGGCTGAAAATTGAAAAGAATCCAAGCTACATAGTGAAAAATGTATACAAAAAACTATATTATTCCAGTATTTATTCATTTTTTTGTATAAAACCTGATCTTAAAGATGGCTGTTTCTGAAAGCGAATTGATGACATATCCTTAGCCACATAAAAAGTTTACATAAAATCAATTAACGCCTCGAAAATAGCTGAAACAGCCCTCGCTTTTCTTGCACTTAATTTATGTTCACTTGAACTTTCTCTTCTTTGTTAATGTATTTCACAACGATTAAAAGGATTTAATACTGTACAACTGTTTTCGATCATGCAAAGCATAATTCAGTTAAAAGTGATTTCACAATTAATGATACTGTCAAGAAACTGAAGTAGGTTGTAATTGCAGTTTTTTTCTACGATTTTAACACAATTTGTTCATAGACTACCTTGTTTCGAGAACGAGGTTTATTTCTACAATCACCTCGGAGCCTCTGTGATTTTTTTATTTAATAAGAGAAACAGTGAGAAACAGTGGGCTACACACGCGTGTGGTCTATAAATTTTCGTGTGCAAGTTGTAATGCTTGTTATGTTGGTGAAACCAGCCGACACTTCTCCACACGAGTGCGCGAGCACTTACTTTCAGACAGGTCTTCGAACGTTTTTAAACATCTGCAGGGTTCAGAGTTTTGTAGAGCATCCTGCACACCCGATTGCTTCGAGGTCCTAGACTCTGCAGCCACTAAGTACCAAGTGAAGCTTAAGGAATCCATGTTTATAAAATGTGAGAAGCCCGATCTCAACCAGCAGGTGAAACACATTAACCTGACTCTCTCCCTGTAAAGAACTAAGCGTCACTCATTTAATTTTGTTTTAGTACGCAATATTGACAAAGCAATGTAACGAACTTTGTAAGATCGCGCGCGCTTTAAATTTAACGGCGATTTCAAAATATGTAACACTGAAGATGACGGATGTACCGTCGAAACACGTCTGGAAAATTAAAGAAAGTTGTTATGTTTATACGACTATCTATATTGATGCTGCTATCTAGACCCTTTAGAAACAGTGATCATTTTCAAAATCATATCCGAGTATTTGTGGATCTCTTTATATTCCAATTTGAAAAATATCGTTAAAATCACCAACAATTTTAGGAATGTTCCTTGTATTTTATCATAGACACAAAGCTATCAAAACTTGTCAAACATCGATGAACACGTCGGGCTCCCTTCTGTCCTGTCGTCCAGTCCCGCTTCATATTTTTCCTGTTACACGTGGCAAAGTGACAGCGCAGGCGCAGTTCCTTGTCGAAACATGGCGGACGAGAGGTCAACGAAAGGCTTAAATATTCCGACGCTGTTTAAATTTGCGCTTTCCATACTCACGCTGAATTAATTTTCCAGGATGTGCTCTGTGCTGGCATCCACTAGGATAAATAATCTTCAGATTCTGATTTTAGTGTTTTGGCAATTTGCAACTGTCACAGATTGCAAAACAGTTCACGGGGTGTTGAGTTCCAGACAAGCTCGTCTGTATCAAGGCCAGTATATTACTAAGTTTTGCTTTTATGGTAAGTTCTCTTTCTCTTCTGTAATAAAATTGCAAACGGAAATTCGCTCAAAGTAGCATAATCCAGAGGTCTAGGACTGGTTAAACCCAGCTATGCTCGCTGAATATTTTTTCATCAAAGAGCGTTTGTTTTCCCATGTGATCAGCTATATTTTAATTTCAAGTGTACCTCTTAACTGTCAAGGGATTTTTCTTAAGGGCTTTAGGAAAAGGAGCGCTTAATTTTTTTTATCCCCTTAGGCTGTTGCATCCTTTGTATATTTGTTTATGATTTATTTAAAGAAGATGAATTTTCTGGGCCTTGCAGTAAATTGTCATGCCTTTCTGCTTTAATTTTCACCTTTAAACTCTGAGGATTGCAGATCAGTACCACTACAGCGGAAGGTCGATATAACGAAGGGCTAAGGTACTGACAAAATATGTTTGCCATAAAAGGGGTTTCGCTGAATCAATGTTCTCTTCAATATATTTTACTATTACTGGGGCTAGGAATATCATTTGGTATACCAAGGACTTAGTTATTAGAGGTTTGTTATATCGAGGTTCTACTGTACAACTTTATCCAAGATCTCCGCTGCACTGTAGCCTCCCACGCAAACGTTTGACTCACGAGTGGGGCAGGAACCCCTAAGAATGTCTGCAGGGGAGGCTATCCTACACTGCAGCTACGTCCCAATTACAGCGAAATTTGTTAGTTAGAACAAAATGTATGGCTGAGATTTTTTATACAGTTTAGTGCACCATTCTCATGAGTCTAGCTTTACTTAAAATTGGTACAAAGAGCTGCATGATTAGTTTTGAATAAATCACTAAAATGCTGATGAATTACTATGTATTATTATTTTATCAACAAACAGGTGAGGCACTTGTTAAATTTAAGCTGAACACAACAGCAACTGGGAAACTCTATTTCTACCTTGGTGACAAATGGCCCCAAGTTGAACAAACTTCACAGTGTCAGACCAAACTTGACCAGGCACAATATTCATGTAAGTTTTTAGTCAATGCACTGGTACTGAAAGACGTTTCATTTAAACGGTCAGATCACAGGACTTAGCCCACAGACTCTTCAATTCATGACTGTATTATTGATAAAAAGGATGGATACCTTGGTGAAACAGACACCTAGAGTTAACCTCTGCCTTTCTTTAGTGTCGGTCCCAAAAATGTCC